GTACAGCATAGGAAATCCAGTCAATAATATAACTGTGTGGTGCTTTCAAGTACTGGAAATAACGGGGAAACACTTTGTAAAGTATATGATTGCCTAACCACTATGCTGTACACCTGGAAGTAGTACAAAATAATTTAATTTTGTATATAAACCATAATCGAAAAAAATAAAAATCATACAGGACCATTTGGTTATGGGGTAGGAGGAAAGAAACTCACATAAAACTAAATTCAGGCTTTCAAAAAAATTGTCTCAAATAATCAGATAAATTTGATATATCTTAACCAATACTTTTCTGAAAAAATAAGGAAATTTTTAAAATGAGGACATAACTAAGGAGGATTATCCCTAAGATAGCCTGTTGCAATGGCAGAGTACATTTTTATGGCACCATTCTAAGTGTGAAACCTTGTGTCTTGATGGAATGTGTGTACTGCCCTATAAACAGTGTTAATTCGTTATCGAATTATAAAGTACTCAGAAATGTTGGCCAGTTAATTCACTGGACTCCCTAAGGATTCCTTATCCTACAGTGTTGCCTTTGGGGGATGCTGCTCTGATATATTTGACTGCACAAGAGTAGATGGGTCCATCACTTGGAGAGGAAAGGACTTGGTGTTTAATCTAATGAAAATGAAATTTAAAGGGGTTTAAGGTTTGGAGACTTTGATGAACTACTTATTTTTCTTGCTCTTTCTTGCATGTGCTTCACTGTGGCCTAAGGTGAATGGAGTCCTTTGTTTTGGTTCATCCAAACTGCTCTCTTTAATGTGTGTTCTGGACCATTCCCAAGAAATGCTGTAGGCTTATGTTGAATGCCTGAGACCTGAGAAAGAAACAGAGCTTGGAGGTGTCAGACAGTGTGCTTGCTACTGCTCAGCTGAAGATTCAGGCATCTGTGCTTTGCTACAGTTATAAAACTGGGAGCCTTCCCACCCAATAAAATGGTAGTTTTTATTTTTAAATTGGGTTTTCTTTTGAATGAAAAGAAAACCTGAGGAACAAGCCTTCTGTTTGTCATGCCAGCCACTGGAGGGCAGAATAGTTACACTTTCTGATCAGGTGTGATTCATTATGATACAGTGAGACCATAGTCAGAACACATTTACTAATGTTTATCAATATAGGAATTTGTAAAACAATGGAGTTCCTACTTTGGGGTACATACTAATCAGCAGAGGGGCTTTTTTAAAAAAATGCAGCTTCCACTCTGGCCAATTTAGCTCATGGTTAGAGTGTAGGCCCCTGGACCAATGAGTTGAGGGTTCAATTCCAGTCAAGGGCATGTACCTCAGTTGAGGTTTGCCCTCCCACCCTGGGTTGGGGGAGGCAACAAGTTGATGTGTCTCACTCACATCAAAGGCTTCCTCTCTCCCTCCCTCCCACTCTATCTGAAGATAAATAGAAAAATATCCTTGGGTGAGTATTTAAACAAACAAACAAACAAACAAACAAACAAATGCAGCTTCCTGGGCCTCTACCCTAAAATATTCTGATTTGATAGTTCTGGATTAGATCCAGAATTCTCTTATGAGTATCAATGGATTTTATTTTGAGAAGCACTCATTTTCATGTTTTGGGCATGCATTGTTGCCTGATATCTTTTCTCTTAGGATTCCAAAGCAAAATGATGATTTTGGAGGAAAAAACATTAATAGAAGGCAAGGTATAGGGGAACTAGAATGTTGTTAATTTAAAGATTTTTGTTTAACAAGTTTCAAAGAAGACTGGCTTTGCAAAGATTCAGAATCAAAGAAGCTACTAAAACCTTGTTTTTGTATGGAGTTATACTTCAATCAATAAAGATCATAGAATCCTTTTTAGGCTACAAGTCTAAAATTTTAAAATTAAATATCCCTTTCATGATGACCTTCTCACAGACAGCCTTTGGATGGCGTGAAGATCTCACATAAAATGTCTTGGCATTGTGAATTGTAGTTGTAGAGATCTTCTGAGTTGAGTTTAGGGAATCTTGTCATCATCTTGAACAAGTATAGAGTCTCTCCTCTATATGTGAAGATCCAACTATGGGAATGCATATTGTCCCTCTAGCAACAGTGATGATTTTATTTTCACCAGTGCCTCCAGAGAGCAGTGCATCCTTGAGGGGAAAGTTTTGCCATTGCTCTTAAATGGAAAGAAGAATGTGGTAAAATTGTTTGGATCTGTGATAGAATGCTACAGCTTAAAGAGTTAGAGATAGGGGGACGAGTAAAGTGAAATTTGGTTCTAAAGCTGGGGTTTTGACCAATGAAAGGAAGACAGTATTTTTGTAGATGTGTATAAAACCAATGGATCTTTGAACCTCTTCTGGGCCCTGTTTCCTCCAAAACAAAACCCTCCATACTCACATATCTCATACAAATATTGTTTAGTGCCACATCCTCTCTTCTTTCTAGTTTTCAAGGTTCTTCTGTGATTGTATGTGGATGAAAAAGAAAGCTCTGTACACATACACACACAGATGTAAAAAATTATTTTTGAAATTAAAGGACTGGTTTGGCTTAGTGGTTAGAGTATCTGCCCATGGACCAAAGGGTTGTGGGTTTGATTCCTGTCAAGGGCATATACCTTGGTTGCAGGTTTGATCCCCGGCCCTGGTTAGGGTTGTACAGGAGGCAACCAGTGGATGTCTGTCTCTCACATCAATGTTTCTCTCCGCAATCCCCCCCCTCCCCGCCACTCCCTCTCTCACTAAAATATCAATGGAAAAGTATTCTCAGGTGAGGATTAACAACAACAACAAAAATAAATTAAAGGCTAAAACTCTAGAATGTCACTTTAAGTAAGATTTTATAAAAATGAGAAGATGCTTTTTCTTAGAGATCGTGCTCTCTTTACAATAAATTTTAATTATTAGCACTTCTAATAATCTATATATTATTAATCTGACAGTGCTCCTAAATTTTGAAGCTAATATGAATTATTATACTGAAGTAATTCTCCCAGTAGAGGAATCTAAAAGAGGTTTGGTTCCTTGAAAGTTCAGTAAACCCAATAATGTTAATCACTTGGGAAGCCTATTTATGGTTAATATCTGGAACAGATGATAAAATGAGAATCTGTGCATTATAATCATGGAGCACAGGATTTGTGGTGTTAACTTTATTGTAGAGAATTGCTCTGGCTCACATAAGATGAAAAATTGAATCCTTACAAAATGGATGTGCTAATGAATAGCCCAGAGCTCCTCAAACTCTCTTAGTTACAGGTATGCCAAGAGTGAATCTTCCCCTTAGCTCTTGGGGCAGCCAGGAGGAACCTGAGGGTGACAGGAGTTCCTGGCTGGTCATCTCTGACTCTTCATCCGTTCCCCCCCCACCCCAGTGCCATGGAAACATGTCTTTTATTTGTGCCATTATGTGACAAAGGTTGGGAAGTACTTTAAAGACCTTGTCCTTTAATTCTTTCTAGTTTCTGTTCATAATTTTATGATCAGCCAATCAGTACCCTTCAAAATGTTATTAGTACCCTCTCTTATTATCTAAAAAATATCTTATGCAGCAGCATTAGCAATGTCTACTTTGAAATATGTAAAATGAAGTATACAGTTCCTTCTAAAGTTCTAGCCGAAGGTGACTTAAAATAAAAATAGTTCTGAAAAGCATTTTAAACTGCTATGTATTTTGTAATACAGCTAGGTCACTGCTGATTCCCAAGATAAATGTGTTTAAACAGAAGCTTTCTCATTCATCACCAGCCTACACTTTCATCCAGATTTATTTAATGATGCAAGCCCACAGCATCGGTATTGCAGTTCATCACCATGGAAGTGTTTCTGTCAACAAATCCTCGCTTTGCTATCATGAAATTGATTTTGCAGGGAAAAGGAGGGTAATTGTGAAAGATTTCTTTTACTTCTAAAGATCTTTACAGTTTGCCTAAATGTGCCTAAATGAATTGTGTTTAAAATCAATAACTGGCAATAAAATTAGCCACACTAAGTTAACAGTTACGAGGTTGGAAAAGGGAAAATGACAATGAGCTACTTTGTCTGAAATGATTTTTTGGAATGTGATTGGGGGACCAGATTTTTCATTTAAAGTGTTCCTCTGAAAGCTGTTGTTCTCCACTACGGAAGTATGGATTATGCTCAGGGAATCCCATGAACTAGGTATCAGAATTTTTAAGCTGCTTTGGTTGAGATTTTCTCACCTACCTTGTAAATGGCATTAATAGTCACAGAAGAAACTTCCCTCAACATACTTTAAGGTCTTTTTTAAACATGCTTTTTTCTATAACTTGTGTTTGTAACTATCCCTGGCTTTTATTTGCTTGTTGAGAGGTTAAAGAAAAAACAAACCACATGATTAAGTTGTAAGCTTCTAAAGGCAGCCCACTTGCAAGCAAGGTAGGAAGCACCTACCTTAAGTAATCCAAACAATTTGAGGAACCAAACAGGAAAAAGGAACAAAAATGACATTTTTGCTTTGAAACAGTGTTCAAGAGCACAGGTCATAGTGACTGATTCTAGGTTTGGGTGCAGACATATATATTTTATGGGGATTTTCATCTGTGGTAGAAATATATTCAACTCTAGATTGTCAAGGTAACTTATATTTCCAAATGTGCTTTTTCTGGCTTCCTGTCACATTTCAAAGCTTTTTATTCTCACCATCAGCTCATGTGCTCACAAAAGCAAATTATTTAATATTACTTTATTCATTTATATCAGTACATTAAGTTCCTAAGTTCCTAACATGTGCGAAGCACTATACTGGGCACCAAAGATATTGAGAGACATCTCAAGCATGAAGTTAAGTTTGCTCTTGGGAGATCTTATAGTTCACATTGAAATCAAAGAGACATAGAATTTTATTTATTTAAACCACTTTCTCTACTTCTGATACGTGATCTGAAGTTGACTGTAAATGGGGAGGAAGTTCTGTTTGTTTGTTTGTTTTTAAGGAAGAATTAATAGACATTATGAACAGGAAATAAAATTCTACTGTACATGCAAAAATAAACACAAAATGACCAAAAGAAAATTCAGCAAGCAATGAATGGTAAAGATAACAAATTATTTACTGCTTTATAATGTTAAGGTATTTCACCAAGATAAGTTGCAGTCAAATTAATATGAGTTATGGAAAATGAAATGCATAAAGATGTATTTATACAAGTGCAGACTAAATATTTTCCATACAGGTATGTAAATGAAAAGATATACAGTAAGTGCACACTTGATATGACTATGCAGGCAACAGTTAGTTTCAGGTACTGTTGAATGGTTCATGCATAAACCTTCCCAAAGTACAAATTCAGTCAGTCTTTGGGGGATGTGGAGGGATAATTAAAAAGGATTGAGTTCCTTGCAATAATATCAGTATAGACTGGATGAGGATCAGTTATATATATTACTTACTGTAATTTGTGATTGTCGAGGAAGAGGTGTGGCTGTTGGTGTGATAGTAATACTGCTGGTGACTTTATTGGTTGTTTTGTTTAGTGCCCCATTAGTTAAGCCTTGAGTTCGGTTATCCTGCGGTGATGTTGAAGGGCTGGCAGGTCTCACGGGGCTGGCTACAGCTTGCATGTAAGGACTTCCTAAGTGAATGTGGATTTTATTATCCTCAGTAGTTATTACACTTGAACTATTACTGTTTGAACGTTGAAACTGCCATGATGACTGCCGGTCTGGAGAGACTCTGAAAATTGCATGCTTGGCACTGATTTCTACTGGCTCTGGGGAGCGTCCCTGCTCAGGAGAGCTAGCTGAACCAGTCACAGCCAAAACCTGAATAGGTGACATTGTCCTTTCTGGAGTTATAGAACCACAAGACTCTGGGGTCTGTGCTCTGGCAAAGGCTGCCATGGTAATTGGGGACATGCTTTGCTCCAAATTCATGAGGCCTTCGACAGAGGTTTTGGATTTCACTGGTGTTATGGAGGCGTTCTGGAGGATGGTTATCCTTTGCTTTGGGGTGCCACAGTTTGGTATCACTGCAGTGCTTGTGTAAGAGTGAGGACTCTCTGTGGTCGGACTTGTGATTTCAAGAGTGGCTGTGTTTTGGACATGGTCTGGAGTAACCTTTATATGAAGTGGTTGCCCAGGTGTGTGGCTTAAGACTAGATCTCCAGGTTGTACGAAGTTGCCATTCGGTTTAGTTTGTATTTTTCCATTCTGAGGATGGCCCTCCTTGGATTTCATCCAAGGAATCCATAGCTTCCTGTTAACAGGACAGGGAGTAGATGAGTTGCACTTGAAGGACAGCACAGACTCCTCCTCATTAGGCTCCTCATCCTGGTCCTCACTCTCTTCATAAAACTGGCCATTGATGACTGCTCGTTCCAGAGGAATGAGACTCTTATAATCGGGTGGTTCATTGTCTACTGCTTCTGTTTGAACTTCTTTAGAAAATACTTGAGGGTCAGAGATTTTTCTTCCATTGAGACTAGGCCGTAGGCTCTTACTGAAATGCCGGTACCTCTCTAACTCTTTAGTGAGGTTTTCAATGTCTCTTCCTAAATCTCTGTTCCTGTTTTCTTGTTGATTGAGTTTCTTTTGCAGAACTGAATGGTCTCCCTGGAGGTGACATATCAGATCCTCTGTTGCCATGTATTCATGTATTTTCTCTTTCAGTGCCTCCACTTCTCTTGAGAGGTGGCCTGATTTAGCTTCTTCTTCTTGAAGCCTTTTGAAGAGCCATTGTTCATGGCTGGACTCTGTCTTTTCTGCTAACTGGTACTTGGCGAGTTCCATTTTAACATGTTCCAGCTCTTCAGATAAAAACTGAGCTTTGTCTCGTTCATTAGCATACCTTCGTTCTAGAGTCTCATACTCATCTTCTGTTTTCATGAGGTCATCCTCAATGGCTTTCATATCCTTTAACTTTAGTCTCAGTTTTTCTACTTCTTGAGAGAGCTCTTTAATCTTATTGTTTTCTTGGTGTAATGTTGTGGACTTACTAGAATCTTGATTTAATTTGTTTTTTAGGAAATCTTTCTCAATTGCTTCCAATGATTGAAGCCTATTTTTCAACATATTAACTTTGGACAGGAGATCATTTCCTTTCTCTTCTTCTGCTTTCAGCTTGTTTTTTAAATCATCTCTCTCCTTGGTTACACTGTACATTTTTTCTTCCACATCAGTTTTGGACTTCAGTGCCCTTTTAGTTTCCTCAATTAACTTCTCAGTAACCGTTGTCACTTTATTTTGCTCCATTTGAAGCTGAGAAGAAGCAGCTTGTAATTTATCTTCAGTTTGCTTTAATTTTTCACTCATTGTTTTCCGCTCATCTACCAGCATCACAGTTAACGTTTTCAGTTTAGTTAAATCTTCTTTTAGGGTGAATTCTGTCTTTTCCAGCCGACTTTCAATGGCTTCTAGCTCGTTGATCCTTACTTTTAAACTCTCCAGTTCTTGAGACAACTGCTTTGTGGTCATCCTTTCTTTTTCTAAGTTGCATTTCAGAGAGTAACATTCTTGTTTGCTTTTGTTGAAAGCATCTTCTAATTTTTCCAGAGCCATAATCCTTTTATTTAGTTTTTCAACCTCAAGTTTAAAGTCTTTACTCTGCGATGTTTCCTTTTCCAGCCTCTTATTGAGATCTCTGCACTGCTCCTCCATTTTTATGAGCTCTTCATCCTTTCCTTCCATTTCTAGCACACGTTTCCTGAGCTCCTCCACCTCGGCCATGATACCAGAGTTTCCATATTCTCCCTTGTTGATTTTTTCTTTTATATCTTGGAGCTCCTCTTCTGCTTTTCGTAAAGATCTGTTTGTTTCTTCTAACTCATCAATTTGCCGGCTGAGTGCTGCCAGCTTTTGTCGTAGCTGGCGATTTTGGCTGTCCTCATTGGTGAGCTTTGCCATAATTGTTTCTTGGTTCTGGTGAAAATGTGTGGTCTGTGTTTGCAGTTCTTTCTCTAGTCTGGTTGCTTTCTGCTCTTCTTCCTGAACTCTGGCTTCAGCAAAGGCTAGTTTAGCATGTGTTTCCTTCGCAATTGTGGTTAGGTCTCGGATTTTTTGTCTTTGAAGGGCAAGCTGTGCTGTAAGCCTTTGTTGTTCATCCACCACCATCAAAGCAAAAGACTTCAATTTAATCAGCTCCTCTTTCAGAGCGGTGACCCTCTTCTCCTTTTCTTGCTCCTTCTTCTCCTGGGATTCTGTTTCTTGGTCAATCAGCTTCTTTAATCTGAAAAATACAAGAGTGCGTTATATTTTGTGATTGGTACTTTAATAACTTATCAGCTGTGATTAAACATTTATGTAATTTAGAAAGATTGTATCAGGTCTTACAGAATGCAGAAAGGAATTACTGAATTTGATGGGAGAGAAGAATCTTGATAAACAGTTATCTTTTCTGCTTTCATTGCCCCTAATCCCCCCTCCCCCCATTGATTGCTAACAGTTGTAGTTCACCAGGAACCTTAGTAGAAGAGTAAGGGCAAACATATGTGGTTTAAATCGCTTGTGTAGTTTATAATCCATAGGCAGTCTCACCTGAATGCTGTAAAAACAGGCACAAGTTTGAGATTCAGTTGAACCTGGTTTTAAGACTGGCCCTACTCTTACCAGCTAATTAATCTGGACAGTAATTTAACATCTCTGAGCTTCAGTTTCCTCATATGAGAAATGGAGGCAAAATTGTATTATCTGAGGGGTCATTTGTGAAAATTAAATGAGATAATTCGTCTAAGATTGTCACATTGCTGGCACATAGTAAGCATTTGATAAGTGTTAGTTATTAATATTATTCTTTTTAATTAATGTGGTATTATTATATTTATCAAATAGTTAACGTGAACCATTACAATACCTGTACATTAATGTTTGGTGCTCAGCATCCTGATTTGTCGTTAAGGTAAAATTCTATTCACATTGCTTAGAAATTAAGCACTTCACTGATGGACCTCTCTGCCAATTAAAACTTGGTTTACACTAGAATGACGCTGTGCCAGGAATCACTTCACATATATCTTTATCCCCATAGTGGGTGGTAGTTGAATGAGGGGGAATTGAGAGACATCTGAAGGGGTTTAGAGTTTTTATAACATATGGGAAGGGCACAAGGTTTGAGAGAAAAGAGCTTATTGACGAGAGTCAGATGCTTGAAATGATAGAGGGGAAAACAGTATTATCAGGAATGTAATGATTCCCTCTTAAAAACGATTCTATTGTAGCATACATACACACACACACACACACACACACACAGACTTTAAATTTGTCAGCATAATGGGAGGGCATTTCACATGAAACAATCTTTCTTCCACAAACTTTTTTCCTCAGCAGTAATGTCATATTTTTAAATTTGTGGCACTCTTAATTACACTGGGAATGGGCTGATTATAGAGTGTGTAATTATAGCTTTGAAGTATTGTTATAAAGAAGCTAAAATAGAATGGAATCCCTAAGGAATTGAACTAAAATACTTGTCATGGATAAAAAGTTATAAATATTTGTTTTCTGGTCAAGCATGAAGAGTTCATAATATTTTTATTTATTGATTATGAGAGAGAGAGAGAGAGAGAGAGAGAGAGAGAGATATTTGTTGTTCCACTTATTTGTGCTTCATCAATTGATTCCGGTATGTGCCCTGACCAGGGGTCAAACCTGCAACCTTAGCTTATCAGGACAACGCTTTAACCAACTGAGCACCCAGCAGGGTCCATAATATTTTAGTATTATCTTTTCTCTTAGGAATGAGTTAATCATCCAATGTATGTCTTTAATCCTTGCCAGAGAACTTTTTTTTAAGTTGTTTAAGGATCTGAGAGGACATTTAAACTAATTTGTGACAGGCTTCTTGGAAATAAGAGTTTTTTTGAGATCCAAGTCTGCTCTTCTGTAATTACACTACACAAGAGGAACGTGTTTTAAATAATTGTATAATGTAAGAATTCCCAAACTTTTTTGTGGGGAGGATCTACTTTTAGTTTTTCCTGTTTTGAGAATTTGACAGGAGGCTGGTCCAAGGGCTGTGGCCTGTGATATTATGAAGAAGCTGGGCTGGATGCTGGGGTGGGGCTGGTGATGATCTCATCCACAGTCTTGGCAAGAGGCTTGCCCATGGCTTTCAGCCCTGTCCCACACCCTGCTCGAGACACCTGGGAGCCTGAGAAGAGAAACATGGCGGCTCCTTCCCAAATGATCCTGGGACTTCACAACCCCGTGGCAGAGTCCATGTGGAAACTGATTTGGTGGTGAAACAGTTACAGAGACTTTGGCAAAGTGTTTCTTCCTCCTACCTTAGCATTGGAATCGTGTTCAACAATGCGCTGAGCATAACTGCAGCAAAATATTTTCCCCTTCTACATCACATTTCTTAGAGTTTTATTAGAGAACTGTTTTACAAACTTTTCAAGATTTCTTTTCAACTTATTAAATAATACCATATGTTACTTCATTTTCATGAGAAAAAGGTGTGTTTCCTTAGGATATAAGGGAGAGAAGACTGTTTTGCAGTGTAATGAAAAGACCATTAAAATTGAATGGTGATTAGTGAATCTTGACAGAGCCATGAAGAGCAAAAAGGATTTTGAAGAAGTTTAAAATGTTTCCATTGTATTCAGTGTTTTCAGCAGCAAGCATGATGCACATTTTTCAGTATGGTACAAGCTCATGTATCTTTTTATGGTTTCTGGAAATTGCCTGGCATCCCCTTCTTTTCCCAAGCCCCATCTTACAAGCTAGGCACATAAAAAAGTAGATTTGAATACATTTGTTCCCAGCATTTTCTTACTACTTTCTTCCTAACTTGCACTTTCCCTGGGCCAGCCCCATGGATTCACCATATAACAGTCAATAAGCTAGTCCGGTAAAGCCTGTTGGGGACAGAAACCAGTGTTATACCCCCAGCCATCCTTTAGGACAGGCCACCAGTGATATATACCTTTCAGAGCCAGTTGAGTGTTTGTAATGCTGTTATATATTGTGGGGTTGTGTACATGTATGAGAGAGAGGCAAACAGATAAACTAGTTATGCTACTGTATTGGCATTAGCACTTCTCGTATGGTGAATGGGCTTACCCTAAACCATTCAATATTTCTTGCTTTGTATCCAGGAGTATTTGAAGGTTGAAGTCTAATGTCAGTTTCCGGACTTGGAGAAAAGTGTTTCTTCGCAAAGTTAACTGGTCTTTATAGAATTTGAAGCTGCAAGCCTGGCCTGTTGTGTGTAGTGCCCTAAATAAGGAAGCTAATTGTCACACTGCTAATTACTAATGCACATGCACGTATGTACGTGCACATATAAGTGTCTCCCTGTGTGTGTATACACATACACATATTTGACTAGGTGTATTTTTTCTTTCAAATATATATAAATGAATGCTTTCAGCAAATATTTGCTGCATGTTGACTATATTTTAGTCATTTGAGGTCCACAATAATTGTCCAAGCCTTTGGTTTTCAAAATTCTAAAGTTTTCAAATCTTAGAAAGGCAGTAAGGAGCATCCACCATATATTCTATAATAGCTCCAGCAAAGTGTGTGGTACCACCTCCTAAGCAAACCTCTGAATATTTCTTCAGTGAGCCATGAGAATGGTTACATTAAGTGGGATAATTAAGATAATAAATCATCTTATATCTGCTCAAGTTTTTCTGTTAAATAAGTTCAGACAAGAAGCTTTGCTGCCACAATTTAGCAAAAACTTGGTGTAGTTTTTAGATTTTTGAAATTGCAGACAAGGGGTTGTTTACAATGAAGGTATAGACTATTGGTATCATTTGGATAAGGAGGGTTATTCTTCAGTAGGATTGGGTTTTAAACCAAACTAACTTAGTTTTTTTCTTTGCATATTAACAAGTTTTAGGCATTGATGCTGACTGACTTTATATGCTAATACAGGTTATCATTGACTCTGGGTTATGCTAGCAAAAGCAGATTAAGGGATTTTGAGAGCTTTTTGTTTTTTATAATCCTCACCCAAGGACATTTTTTTCCCCATTGAGTTTTACAGAGAGTAGAAGGGACGGGCGGGATGGGGGATGGGGGTCGATGTGAGAGATACACATGGATTGGTTGCCTGCTGGGGATCGAACCTACAACCCAGGCATGTGCCCTGACTGGGTTGCCAACTCATGCTCAGGGCATTACTCTAACCACTGAGAACATGGGCCAGGGTACCCAGAATCTTGAAAGTGGCACAAACCTTGAGATGCAGAATGTCTACATAGAAATTCATTTCCTCAGAGCTCTGTAGTCAAATTATTGCTACTTTTTCCACGAATAGTTCCCACTAATATGCCTTTATGCAGGGATGTTTGTACAATCTGTGCTAGTGTTTATCTAACCTCAGCACTATTGACATTTTGGGCCAAATGATTTTTGGGGGACTGCCCTGTGCATTGTAAGATGTTTGAGTAGCAAGTATCCCCAGCCTCTACTCACTAGATGGCATTAGCAACCCAGTTGTGGCAATGAAAAATGTCTTCAGACATTGCCCAATGTCTTCTGTGGGGAGAGGGGAGAGAGAGAGCAATCATCCCCAACTGAGAACCACTGATTGATGCCTGTGTGTGTGTGTGTGTGTGTGTGTGTGTGTGTGTGTGTGTGTGTTTATATGTCAGTCTATCATTAGAAGTCAGACTCTCCATGGTCCTGCCCTACTCAGCTTTAAATAGATGCAACAGAAATTTCCACCTGAGTTACATATACACCAAGTGGTTGTATCTTCCCTGTGAAGGGCCTGTTCTTTAACAGTGCTTCTTACAGTTTAAGGTGCATTTGAATCACCTTGTTAAATTGCAGATTCCAATTCAGTAGGTATGGATGGGCCTCAAATTTTGCAGTGTAACAAGCTACCAGGTGATTATGCCAGGCCTGTTTATGGGTAGCAAGGCTTTACTGTTTACATGCCAGATGTTTTCTGGAAATGGTCTTCTGGCTGAATATTAACTCAACCAATTATTCATTATTGATTGTACCCTGATCTGTGGATACAGCCTATATTCCTGACCTACAGGGCCATCCAGTTTTTCACAGGGAACATCATGACTAAATTAGCTAACATCTGTCCACATTACTGGAAAAAATGACTGAATGTGCATATCATAGGTAGTTGGTCAGTAGCTAAATTTTCACCTAAAAAAGCATTACATAATTTTAGTTCCAATTTGTGATTTTCCTCACATAGCCCAAAGACTAAAATTTGGAGACTATATAATAACTTCCACTTTTTATTTAGTG